TAAGAAAATTAGGGTTAGGATCCAACAATAACATTTACATATTAGAAAAGGGATGCCGTAATCTAACATGAAAATAAATTGAAGGTAAGTGAATGACGATTCACTAATTCTCCATTACAAAACCTAGACTATTAGTCCTAAGTGTATTGAGAATTCCTAGGTTCGGATGAGATTCATTGAAACTATTCAATGGCATGTTTAAATCTCGATATGCCCCTCTTGTTTGTGACTGGGATGCCGAGGATCACAAAGCGGGTGTGAATTACCATGCAAATTCACATGGTGCCTTCATTGTAACGATCACCTATTCGATGTGCCGGTAAACCACACACGCTCCATCGAACTATGATAAACAATGAATCACCCTTTGCCACCTTTGCTTAGAACCAATTAGTGTGCCGGTAAACCACACACGCTCCACTAACTTCTTAGCAAGGGTGCAAAGTGTAATTTCATGGGATTGCATCAATTCACTTTTCCTAAAGTAACTAAGATTGGGAAATTTTTAAAACGTGTAGTTACTTTGTATTTCTTATTATACTTTTAATGAGAGGATGAGGTTGCCCTATCCTACCCGTTCGGCTAACGACCCTCCACCAATCAAGCAAGCGGTGGGTGTGAGTGTACACCCATTAAGCGCCATTTTATAGGCCGCAACCTTATACCCACCTTATAGATCGGCTTCGTGAATGAGGCCTACTAACGGTAAGACTAGCATTTAGTTATACATATATATATTATTCTAGTAATATCATATTAGTATAAGGTTGTGTTTTAAACCTTTTAAAACGTAGGGTTTGAAATTTAAGTTGTCTAAATTAAAACTTTTAATCACAAATATAAATTTCAAAACTTGAGGGCAAGTTTTAAACATTTAAAACATGGAGGATCAAATAACAAATAATTCCAATTAACAATTAATATCCTAATTATCTTTATTTGATTTATCCAAGATTTCTTTTAAGATAATTATCAAAATAATTAATCAATTATCATATAAGGAAATTAAATATTTTATTAGATGATAAATATCTTTAATTAGATCAAGATTATAGTCATATATATCAAAAAATCGGATTAGGGTTGATCTAATATGATTAAGGTAAGTTTCCATAAGATAAACATGAAAAAATCCCGGTTTTGCCTAATCCTGACGCCCGGACTCGCCGAGTCAGGCCTACTCGCCGAGTCCACTTTGGAACTCGCCGAGTCCATGACTCAGAAACCCAAAAATCGAATTTTGCAGGTTTGTTTCAGTTAATCAAGCAACAATTTAAAGAAAACCAAGCTAGGCTCTGATACCACTGATGGGTTTTAGCCATAAGAACTTTCCTATGTGCGCATGCAAAACCCTAATGCTCGGATCTAGGCTTTCTAATTAAACATGCTTTGAATCCAAGACTTCTAATGGCTAATTAGGTTAAATAACAACATTGAAATAGATCTAGAATCATACCTTTGGATTCCTTGTTGATCTTGTTGTCTTGGAGCTTCTAGAGTCACAAATGTCACTCCTCTAATGGCTTACAAACACCAATAGCAAGAAGGATGATTTAGGAGAGAGGAGAGGGGAGGAATTCGGCCAGAGTATTTCTAATTTAGATGGTGTGTCGAATTCCCTCACCCCTAGGGTCTATTTATACTTGTAGACTCCTTAAGGATTACAGCTTTAACCCTAATTGGATAACTTAGACTTTAAGTTAATCCATATCCTTTCCTTGATAACCCTATGGACGATTTTGGCTTATCCAAGCCCTAGAAATCGTCCATCCTATCTTGGATAAGGATTTATAGTCTAAAGTGTAACTATCAAACAATTGACAGTTTATACCCTCTTATTTAATTAATCTCTTTAAGTCACCAAATTAATTCCAATTAATCTATGACTTATATTAATCAAATAACCATATATTATTCCTTATAATATTTACTCTCTCTTAACAAATCATCCATCAAGTTGCTATGGTGAAGGCAACCCAAAAGGACCATGCACAACCGGGTCAAATACTTGCCTAATATAGTTGCAGCCTTAGACACTATTCCAACACTTAGTTTATACATAAGGGTTATATATAATTAATACCCGATAGGTAGTTGGATGTGTGTCTTCCGCCTCATTTCCTGTTCCTTGTTTGGTTGTGGACTTAGGGCAGATCCACACAACTAACTATCTGTTTAATATTAAATTATATATATAACCAGTATAAACTAAGTGATTATAGAAGGAAACACTGTGGTTACTATTTTTATTATAACAAATAAGGGTTTTCTTAACGAATATTTTCATCAAATATAAAGGAACTATTATAGTTAACTCCGTGAGTACCAAGTGAATACACCAGGGTTACATACAAAATGATCTAACAACCAATGGGATGTGTGCCATCCGCTTCATTCCATGTTCCTTGTTTGGTTGTGGGCTTAGGGCAGATACACACAATCCATTGTTTTTTTACTCTGAGTTATATATAACTTTATCCATTTAGTACTCATAGAAAGGATTATAGAATCATTTTTACTTATCTTTCAACAAAGCAAGAAATATAATATTTTCTGGAGGAACATGCGAACTTTTCTGAACATAACTTACAAGTTACTAAACTTTTTTTACAACATACTTACATCACTAAAATCTTATAAACTCACCAGCTTAATTGCTGATAAACTCTTTCAAAATAACTTGTATTCTCAAGGAACTAGTAGACAGGTACTTGCGCTGGGAATTCAGAAGATGGAGCAGTATAGCTTCAAGTCTTGTTTTGTTATTTCCTTATGTAATCTATGTTTTGTGAACACACACTTTGTAAAAACTCTCTTTCTAATGAAATGGTTGTTTACACTACTAGAAAAATAACCTTTTACGACGTGCGAACCATGACACGCAGTGATTTATGATACGTAAAGGTGAGTGTCTAAAAAATAATGTCATCTCTTCCAAAATTTAAAGGATTTCAGACGCGCATTTTTGCGGGCCCTAAAATTAGTGTCTAAAAAAAAACACGGAGGGCACCTGCGTGTCGTCTACGACCGTCGCTTTATAAATTTTAATAGAACGCGCGCGTTCCATCCGGGGAAAATGAAATCCCAAAAACTTAAAATCCCTGCCTTCCTTTTTTTTCTCCCTCCACTTTAATTTCCCTAGTAGCTAGGGCTTTTTTTTTAAGAACTTGCCCCGATTATGCCCTCCTGTACTGCTCATTCTCTCTTCAACTTCCCTTTCTCGCCTTCTCACTTCGACAAACCCTTTCTCTTCTTCTCAGTTCTCGACGTCGACAGCTTCTCCCACCTCCGACGTTTCTCTTGGTGTTGGCGCCTCCCACCTCTGACCTCCGTCTAGCCCCGCCCCACCGTCCAATGCTTTCCAGCGTCACCCAGCCGATGGAGCCCCTCATCTCCGACAATCTCACCTCGCCTGCCCTTGCCAGCAACATTAGGTCTGGTGACCTAGACTGAGAAAACTCAGAGCCTTCGGAGGAGTGGTGGCACTACTCAAATCCCAGCGACGGAAGGAAACTCTCTATGACAGCAACAGAAAGTCAGAGACTGGAATGGGAGAAAGAGAAATAGAAATCGAGAAATCGACTTATACAGTAAATGGGGAAGAATCGATGATGCACGCAACATGTTTGATAAAATTCCTCATCCGCCATGGTCTTAATCTACAAGTCTCTCTCTCTCTCTCTCTCTCTCCCCCATACTGCTCGACAACCACCCAGGCACCCACCACCCTTCGTCTTCTCTCTGGTTCACCACACTTCTCCTTCCTATGTTTGTTAGATTCGTCATCTGATTGGCGAGTGTTCTGTAAAAAATGATTTTTCCGTTTCATATTTTATGGATACCTCAATCTTCTATGATGATTATGAATGTAGTCATAGAGTACTCGCTCCACTATCATTTTCAATCATTTTAGGGCATGGAGAGGTAATTTTTCTAGTCGGGGAGGGTTTCAATTATATATCTACTATATCTATTTCTAACTTTTTTACATAGGATCGTTATGATTTAGGTTTCAGTTTAGCTTCCGAGACACCTCACATGATAAGTGCAGCTGCTAAAGGCATAACTCCATTGAGTTATGAGTTTACTTATCTTGTATCCGTTGCTTTTAGTGTTTTTCAAGTTCTAGTTGTTGACAATTATCAATATTTTTTTATGTAACCCAATAAGTGTATTCCACCTGGCCGATAAATAATCCATCCAAAATTCAATCCCCCTTTTTTACCCGGGCTAATTCAGTAACCCAAGTACTCTGGGGACTGGGGGGTTCGCCACTGGAACAAAACTGTAGGGACAATTCCAATCTCTCATAAGTTTCGTTAATTTGAATATTTGATTTGTTGTGATGTGGCTTAGATCTTAATTACACTCGGATGCTCGCTTAGAAATAGATAATTTTTACAATTCGATTCACCCTTAATCTGTCATTTCGTTGTTGTAATGCGGCTTAGATCTTAATTACACTCGGATGCTCGCTTAGAAATAGATAATTTTTAGAATTCGATTCACCCTTAATCTGTCATTTCGTTTTTGAAATCATTGATCCATCGTGATTGGGCTTTATGTGAGCATCTTCGTTTTCTAGATTTGAACTTTGTGGAATATCTAATATTACGTTAGATTTGCCATTAATTCGATAATTTTTTGAAATTTCAATTAGGCTTAGCATTTTAGGGCATGACCGTTTGGAATCTGTGTTTCTGTTTGGTGTTTTGGTTTCGTTGCCTTTATTTGTTTCGTGTTTTCATGATGCATCTGAACTGTACTGGTTTTAGGTGTCTGATAATATACTGTACATATGAAGTGATATAGCTGTATTTTTCTTTAGCATGCCAGATGTGGCGTCTAATTTTATATCTAACTGTAACTTCTGTAATTGTGATTGATGATTTTGGGATTTTAGGCTTACCATCCGGGTTGATTACTAGATATGGGGATTTACCTAAGCACACCTAAAACTGATAAAACATCCGACGATGGTGAGAATGAGAAACTGAGATATGGAGTCTCATCCATGCAAGGATGGCGCACATCAATGGAAGATGCTGTAAGTCCCTAGTATAGGCTACTTGTTAGTTATATAAGCTATTGTTCCTGTTTGGATTTTCTATATTCTAAAAAGGTATGATAGTTTAATGCTCTTGTAATCTTGTTGAATTTTCTCTATATCTCTCTATGATACAACTTTCAGTCAGCCCAAACATTGATCACTATAGTAATTAACCAAGATTTTATGTGTCAATATGAGGTGTTTGGTAGCATGCTGCTTTACTTGACTTGGACAACTCCACATCTTTCTTTGGCGTTTATGATGGCCATGGAGGTAAGCATATGGATATAGATTATATACACACATGTTTGTTTCTTCATATATAAGGTGTCCTCACTAAGCTTTTTTTTTATCTTTCAGGGCAGACAGTCTCTAAGTTCTGTGCCAAGTATCTTCACTAGCAACTCCTGAAGCAGGAAGCTTATGCTGCTGGTGATATTGGAACTGCTGCCCAGAAATCTTTTCTCAGGTTACTCTTCTATGTTATCTATTCACACTAACCAAATACATGGCTGTTTTGTCTTGTCTGTTATCTGAAGAAATTGGTATCATTATGCAGAATGGATGAGATGATGTGTGGACAACATGGCTGGAGAGAGTTGGCTATATTGGGAAATAAAATGGATCAATTCAGTGGCATGATAGAGGGACTAATTTGGTCACCAAAGGGTAACGATTTAAAAGGTCTAAATGATAATTGGTCTACTGATATTGGGAAATAAAATGGATCAATTCAGTGGCTTGTTAAGCTCTTTCAATTTGTTAGGACATACAACACCTATCCAGGCTGGGTCCCTTCTACTTGTGGGCCCATTTCTTGATTACTGGTTAACTGGAAAAGAGAGTCAACATGTTTAAATATGATATTTCCTCTATGGTGAGTAAGAGTATATTTATACAACTAAAAACCAGTAATTGTTAACAGAATCATGGTTTTATTTGTGTAGGATTTCTTGGTGTTATTGATAGAGGATAAGGAATTGGTCGAAAATCCTATGATTGATGCTTGGTTGCTGACGAATAGAAAAAGTCCTTGGGTTGGGAAGAAAGAAGGGTTACAGGGATGTTGGATCTTTTATTGAACTCACTCCTTATGCATCTGAAGTGGTAAGTCTATTTGTTCCCTGGAGGATAATATTGTAATTGTTCTACTTGTTCTAAAGCTACATCCCTATCATATACACACAGTTAAATTTTACGAATTTATCCCAACCTAATACCCATACGCATATGTCCATTTTAACACACGCCTACATTCAACTATCTGCAATAGAAAACCATCATTTAGAATAACAAAAATATATTAAAATTTAAATATAAGTAAGCATATACCTGCAACCTAACTTCTAGAATAAATTTCAACTGTGTCTTGGGTTGGCATTACCTCTCACTAAGTTTTGCAAGCTGAAATTTTACCAGATGTTAATAAACCTAATAAAATACTAAAAAAAATACTTTTTAGTTTTTAATATAATATTACCAAAAAAAATATTGGAATTCTAACTTACATGAACTGTTTGCATATGCAGTAAATCCGCAAGTGCTTTTTGCCTCGACTGTTAATGTGAAAAAAAGAATCAAAGTATTATGTATCAGAAACATAAATTTAAAAATATATAGAAAATTACAATTATGCCCTTGTATACTGATTGGTTAGTAGCCCAACGTTCATAATAGTGAGTATATCTCTCTAAAGAATTCTTTGCCATTTCACTTCTGTGTTCAGATTCATCATACTACAAATGGAAGTGGAATGAATTACAAGATTAAAGATTTGAGACTTTAAAAAATGAATAATTGTAATGTTTTATTGAATTTAGAGTAAAATACAATTAGTTTTATTACATGATGTTTATAATTCATGCATGTTTACAGCTGCATTTGCAACCTTGTTCTAACAACAAACCCACATGTAGTATTTAATTGTTTATTTACGGTTGTGCCCCTGAACTATTATGTATTAACATCCATAAGCCTTTTGTTCTCATGTTAGTTAAGATTCATAAAGATACTTATGTTCTAGCTGAATATAAATAAGTCTTTCTAGTAGCCCCACCCTTATCCTTAGCAACATAATTAATTACATTAGCATCTAATGTAATTCGGTTCTGCTTACAGTAACGAGGAAGAAGCAAGCCATTGTATCTAGTAGTTTTGGAGGAAACGAGACTCAAGCAAAAAGCAAACACACGGAGAGTTGTTGGCAGATAGTAAGCTAGATAATGCAATTGTATATTCTGCTTCTCTTGAGTTCATTTTTTTATAACATTTACTCACTATTGGAATAATTATTTGTATTTGACATATTAGTGAAATGAATTATCTTTGTTATTTATGGTATTTTATTTGTATGACATTAAATTTTATGCAATGGATTGTATTTTTTGTATATGATATTTATTTTCTATTATGAGACATTAAATACAAATTTAATTTGAAAATTAGTAAATCTGTAAATATTTTTCTTAAACATTTAAATTTATGATACGCAAAAATGTGTGTCATCTTCATTTATGACGTGGCCTTTCTTGACAGGGGCTTTCTTGATACGCATTGCGTGTCATTAACACGCGTGTCATAAGGTTACGACACGCGAATGCGTGTCGTCTTCCTTTATGATAGGGCCTTCCTTGATACGCATTGCGTGTCGTAAATGAGCGTCATAAATGCGTCGTCTATAGACGACGCGCAAAAGCGCGTCGTTTCTCTTTATGACAGGGCCTTCCTTGACACGCATTTGCGCATCGTCTGAGCCTTTTACGACGCGCAATGAGCGTCGTAAAAGGCTGTTTTTCTAGTAGTGTTATTAGTTTGATTACTATGATGCATGTCTTGTGATATTAAACATAACGTCTTCCACCCCCGAACGTTTCTGCCGTTCCGGTTTTGGGGTGTGCCAGATTGGTATCAGAGCATTGTTTATAGTGAACTAAGTATATCAACCGATAAAATATATACAACTATAAATACAATGAGGATTAAGTGCTCTGAATAATAATATATTTTAAGAATATAACAATAAGTTATAAAAATATACCTACTTGCTTATACATGCATACATACTGGAACAAGTATCACAAGAAGAACATAAAAAAAAGTATTTAAAGGTTGAATATTGAGGTCAAACCTGGGCAGTTATGTAAACGTGTCTAGGATCAATATATCATGATCAACTATGTTCATTTGAGATGTGACCGACATGTGCTTGGGAGTGATGTGGTGTTGCAACGATGTTAAAACTTACCTAACTCAATACAAAGGATCTATAGATCAGAACATGAAAGTTAGAATACTATGGGAGTATTCTATGACACTATAACATGATAACAAGTTTGAAACATACTAAGTACATTACAATAAAATACTTTAGGAGTATTTTAGGAACTATAAAAATAACTTGAGTGATAACTTAAAAGACCCTTACTGATAGGTCTATAATCTTGCAATGTATACTCCCAAGGTTTTATGTAATTGAGATTTTATAGAATTAGAATTTGTGATCTACGCTTCACTACCTGTTCCTTGTTTAGTTGTGGTTTTGGAGTAGGATCATTTATTCGAAGGTCTATTTAATCTTGAATCATATACAACTTGTATACATTGTATAATTATAGAACGACTCTGTAAGGATCACCCCATAAAGTTACCCTAAAATATCATAGATTCTTTAGACACCTCCATTCTCGCACGACAAACCCAGATATATGTAACCACTTCCTCATAGTAGCCAGCAGAAGAGTCAAGGAGGAACAAGAGCAAGTTCATGAGAAGTTTGCAAAGAAGGATCAACCGAAGTAACCAAAATGTCATATACATCACACTAATAAATAATAATCTTGGTTAGCTTAATGAGTTAGTGAAAACACTACTCACCCTATGTGTTAGGATTATTTTCTTTACATCCAACTAGTAACAGTTATTCAGGTCACATATATTCATTTGAGGATAGCCATTTCTAATTCATAAAGTTTATTCAGTATAGAATCTATTATGAATTGTTTCCAGAACCCTGTGGAAGTCAGGATCAGATACACTCAGAACTAGGATAAACTTATCTCTTAGCTTTCGATTTTATCCACTGCTATAGACTTATTCCATCTCATCTTTGTATTCTTAGCAAAAGATGCTTCGTGGTAGACCGGTAAGGCGCGTAGTCAACAGCACGACATAGAATCCGCCACCGCAGTTCGACGTAGCTTCTTTTTCAGGAAGCGGTAATAGTAGCAGTGGCAGCCTCCCTAACCCAAATTCATGCAAGTGGTATCAGTGGATCTAATAGCGTTGCTCACCCAACCAACCACGGAGATACCCATGGGAATGTTCGTATAAGGACTTCATGAGCTGCAAACCTAAATCCTTCAATGGAGATGGAGGAGTCAGCGCTCTGATGCGATGGTTCGAGAAAACAGATTCGGTCTTCGAAATCTGTTTATGCCCAGAAGGGAGCAAAATCAAGTTTGCTGCCTACATCTTCTCTGGCAGAGCCCTAACATGGTGGATGTACCAATGTAAATTTTCAAAAGAAAGTTTTCATTTAAAATCATATAAATCCTCATGACACATTTTATTAAAATCTCATTTGTTCAATCCACAAAACATAACTCCATGTTTTTGTAATTAAAAATCCAGGATTCTTATAACTATTTATCTGGTGTGTACAATCAACCGGTGCCGTCTCGCGATCCTGAGAACCTGAAACACATAACACATAACACGGTAAGCACGAAGCTTAGTGAGTTCCCCAAGATACCACATAAAACACATATTAGCCACTCGAGGCTATAACTCTATAGACCCTCTGGTCCTAACTCTGTGGACCTTTCGGTTCTAACTCTGTAAACTATGGAACACACACACAACATAAATCACATAGAAATAATGTAGTGCATCACATCATATATATATATATAGCATAGAAAATACTCTGCCACATAACTCTAATTACCACTCTTGGTAAAGTATAGTGAGAAGACTCACCTGGAAATCAGAAAGCATCTGTCCTCACACTTGAATCTTGAACTCGCCACTGTAAGATCTGAAGCTTGAAATGAAGATGAGATTGATCTACCAAATCTCCTCTGAGATCCTTGCAACTCCTTTGATCTTCTTCTCTAAGAAATGGCCTCCAAGAAGCCTCTTTCCTCTCTAACTCATAAATAACTCTAGGGTTTCTCTCAAGGGACGAAGACACTGTTGGGAAGGGGCCAAGGAGGCTATAAGTGCCTTTAAATACGTCCCAAACCCCAAAAATTAGGGTTTCTCTGCCCAACACTTACTCGGTGAGTCCCTCCTTGGACTCGTCGAGTCCACTCATTAAATCCATGGGAGAAACCCGACTCGACTCGGTGAGTTGGACCCTCAACTCGTCGAGTCTCTCCTTTAAATCACAAGATTAACCTACACCAGAATACCTATGAAAATCTGGATGTTACAGTGGAATGGTCATGTTAAGTCACTAACTCTATCAGTGGCTAACTCGATAGGCTAGGAAAACTTGAAGGAAATGATGATGGGAGAGTACTGCCCAAGGGGCGAAGTACAAAAGCTGGAACAAGAACTATGGGAGATCAAGATGGTCGGCTCAGACATAATGGCCTATACTGAAAGGTTTAGCGACCTGGCCATACTGTGCCCCGGGATGGTTACCCCGAAGAGCAAGAAGATAGAAACATACATCTGGGACCTAACTGCCCCGATCCAATGAGATGTGTTGTCTTCTAAC